GTAGCTTCATAAAATTAAGGCTGAACCACTGATGTCACATGGACTAGGGATGCACCGGATGTTTGGCAACCAAAATAATTTGGCCGAAAATAGCAATAAGTGAAAAAAAGAACGAATAAATAAAGAAAACGAATAAATTGTACTGAACAATGACGTTATGCGATCAAACAGAGGCGCACACTAATGCAGCAAACATGACAGAAGTGTGGAGGCATTTGTCCGAGAAAGACGCAAAAATCATTATATACGCACCGACAGTGAGAGACTGTTGCATTGCATGTCTTCGATGAGAAGAGGAAGGGTGGTTATTGCTGGTTACTGTATGATGATTTAAATCACGAAATGGCCTCGAACGATTAGTAAATATACTGCAGAACGTTATGTTTTCTAATACACGCATGAATTGCATGTATTCAAACAGCGCTGCACGAGGTTGCGGCGCCAGGGTTCAAAGTCCAACGCGCGAGGAAAATCTGCGCTGAAACTGCTGCTCAGTATCATTTTTATGCTTTTTTAAAATAAAATAAGAAAAGTAAGACAATAATGATAATAATAATTACAACAGCTCTATTAATACATTTATTATATCACTCACACATAGTGTTCAAACTGAGATCTGTAATATTTTCTAATGTTTTAGAAGAATTCTGTTCTGCTCAGCAAGGCTGTATTTATTTGTACAGTAAAAAATATATAACTGATTCAAGAAGGGGGTGTCAAAAATGGCCAAAAAAATATTTGACTAACTTATTAATTTTAAGTTAAATTGTGCTTTGTTTGTTATAGTGTCTGCTAGAATGTTAAAACATTTTCAGTGTTAAGTAAATATTTTTAAATTGTTGTTTTGTAATTGTTTTTTCTTTGAAAAGCTAGACAAAAGCACATTTTGGCTATTTAATTTATGCAATGGTGAAAAAATTGGTAAAATATATTAGGGGTGTAAATCGGATGGTTCGTCACGATACAATACGATAGCGATTCTCATACCCAGCGATACGATATTTGCTGATACTTCAAAAATTGTACTATACGATTTCGATACAGGAGAATATCGATCGATATAATTATATTATATACCTATTTTAAACAACCATCTACATTTTTATTAACTCACAAATGCAACCAAAACATATAACATTAACATTAATCTTAAATTTTCACATCCTGTTCCTCAATTGGGACATTCACAACAAAAAAAATAGGCCTACATTTTTTTTTAAATAATAAAGAAAAATAAATAATTGAAAAAAAAAAAATCAAGTCACACAAGATCAGTAATCTTAAAATATGACAACAGTCAAGACAGTCTTTCAGGTTTTTGTGCTAAAATATGCAATGTGTAAAATAATGTAAATCCTCATTAGGAAACAACACAAACGAGGCACTCCAGTTGTAGAAAAAAAATTCATTCATGTAGAAACAAAATACAAAAATAAAGCTGTTAAAACTTTATTTGATACTTTTTGGCTGCTACTATGGACTCCGTGCTAAAACCATTTCTACAGATAAGCAATGGCAGAAAATAAATACACACAATATAACAAAGACACAAATTAAATAAACAATGATTTTCAGGATTTTTAGGTAGATCTAAAATACATTTTCAGGTACAGAAATGTAATAATCAAATGTAAAATGACACTGCATAGTCTTCACTTTATAGATTAAATATAGATTAATCCTTATAAAAGTTGTTCAGTCAAAACAATTTTTCTTTGACAGAAGTTTTCTGTTAGTCTGCTTTCACTTTAAGAAAATCACGGATCCAATATACACGTGTTTTCTTTCTCAACTGTATACGTTAAGACATAGGCCTAACCGATTGTGTTTACTAGGATATTCACCAAGACGCACATGTTGATGTAATTTGGTCTGTATTTGTTCATCCATGCACAAAAAAGCCGAAGAGAGCTCAATTAGGTATTAGCACGCTGTCGATGTGGCTGTCTGTATACGTGCGTAATACGTGTGTAATTACGATGTAATTCCATCAACTATCCCGAGCGTCTTTTACCCTTGCCCTTCAGGCAGTCTTTTCATCCCAACACGTGAGTTTGAATGAGAATGCACTATCAATGGATTGTTTGTGACACCCCTAAAATATATGGGGAAAAACTATTCGGTATTCAGCCTTCGGCCCAGTGTTTCGTTTTGTTCGGCTTCGGCCAATAATTTTTATTTCGGTGTATCCCTAACACGGACTATTTTAACAATGTCCTTACTAACTTTTTGGGCCTTGAACGTGTCAGCTGCATTGCTGTCAGAAAGATCTTGAATTTCATCAAAAATATCTTAATTTGTGTTTCGAAGATGAATGAAGGTCTTACGGGTTTGGTATGGCATGAGGGTGAGGAATTAATGACAGAATTTTCATTTTTGCGTAAAACTATCCCTTTAACCCTAAGAACTGGAACAAACTGATTCATGAACAGATCATTCAGACCAGTTTTGTGAACCAGATCAACTGATTCACTGAAAAGATCTGATTAAAAATGTAAAATGATTCATTCACATTTGTGTTAAATAACGACTTATATTGTGGCCTTTTATCACACAAATCTTTGACATGAATATAGTGCACAAGTCACATGAATGACTAATGCATTTATGGTGCTGTTGAGTTATGTTTGGAGATTGACAGCTCAATTATATTAAAAAGTATGGCCAGAATAATACTCAACAGAACAAAGTCATACACGTTTGGACCAACATGAGATTTGTGTGACAAAAGGCCAGAATTTAAGTCATTATTTGACAAGTTCATGAGAGCAGGCGCGATGTCCAAACTGAATGATTCATTCTTTTGAGTCAGATCTTTTCAGTGAATCAGTTGAGCTGGTTCAAAAAACTGGTCTGAATGATCTGTTCATGAATCGGTTTGTAAGTAATGACACAATTTTGGAGTAATCAGTTACTCAGTTTGGAGTAATCTATACCTCTACGTGATATATATATATATATATATATATATATATATATATATTAAAAGACAACTAAAAATAAATATACTGTACACTACCTTGAGACATTTATCTGACAGTGTGTGTGTTGTGGGTGAACATAAAGGCCTGGAGCGCAATGATAAATACAGAAAACAGTCAGCAACAACCGTGGATTTACAAACAGGTGTATCAACAAACCAGGGATTATCAACTTCCCATGCATGTCCTCCTGTGTACTTAAATCCAAATGCACAAAAACACTGTAAGCCTCATTAGGCAAAACCCATGTGATAATGCACAAGGAAATACATTTACACCATTTAAAATGAAAACGAAAATCAGTTATTGTACAACAAGCCAAAAAGAAAAAGCACTAACAAGCACTTATAAATCAAGGCAATGCCACGATTTACTTTAACTATGGCAATACCGTGATAGTACCATATGTATTCGTGGAGATATGGATATGTTAATCACTCAGTGCCATGGAATACATCAGAGTATTAGTACTTTGATACCATGGTATTACCATCACTTTGCCATTACAGTAAGAATGACCATGCCTAAAGAAACTCTTTCCATATTATTATTTTGAAAAACGTGTGTGCCTGAAGAGAATGCCTTAAAACGTTTAAGGAAATGTTATTGTCTTTCCCCAAGGGAGTGAATAAACAGGAAGATGATCATACAGATGCACCTACCCTTCACGTCTCCGGCCAGCGCTTTCCATGTCGGCGAGTACTGGATACAGTGTCCGCACCACGACGAGTAGAACTGAAGCAGCCAGGCGCTGGAGGAGTTCAACACGGTCTGCTTTAGGCTGTCGCTGCTCAGTATAACCACTGGATCCTGCTCAGTGTATAACCGAGCTGACTGAGCCAGTCCGAACAGCAGCCCCAACAGAACAACGAGCTTAACGCAAACCGCCACGGCCATGGGAGGTGATGGAAGAAACGCCATACAATTCGAAGCCACTCACTTAAAATGAATTCTCTACATTCAGACTGATTCTGCTCGCTCCTATGGATGACTACATTTAGTAGGGACGCGAGTCATCTAGAGCATCATCACTGCGCTAAGAGGACGCAGACGCCTATCTTGCACATCCTATCTGCGTATGAGCGACGCATATCATGTATGTGGCGCGTTTACGTAATAACAATTCTTCGGTGTATGGTACTCTAATATAATCAAAATTGTTTGAAAAAAACACACACCACAAATGTTGCTAAGAATGAAATATATTTCATCTTGATTGTAGTGTAGTTTAATGTACAGAAACACATAATTGATTTTTAAAAAATCATTAAAATAACGCTTGATATGATGAATGACTAAAGACAAAGATTAAATCTCACAAAAAAAGTTGATGTAAGGTCACCTCAGAATCAAAAGAAATATACTGCATACAGAAAATGAATTCATTTATTTACGTTGGTGTGTTTGTATTTTGATGTGTTTGTTCACATTGTATAACCATAAGCACATTTTGTCCTGAAATTCTCATTAATGTAATATATCACTACATGTCGTTTTGAGTTTTTTTTTTTGTAATTCCCATTATTCTCCATGATGATTTGCATTATATTCTCATTACCGTAATAAAGTAGCCTATTACTTTTAATTCATCCAGTAAACAAATGACTGTGATACATTACTTTTGATTTAAATCAGCAGATATTAAAAGCAATACAAACAATACTAATATGACATATAAATACTTTAAAATGTAAATAATATCATTTTTTTTTAAAGAATAATATCAAGATTTTCAATAATGAGAATAATATATTTGCTTTACAGTAATTGCAAAAGTGGAAATTATGTGAAAATGTGTTGTCATGAACATTTCACAATGCAAGAAAACTGCTCTAAATGGTCCTAAAAACAGTTTTATGGGTTTACGTTCCTCAAGCAAAACATAATTTGTGAAATATGACTTGGACATGCTCTTGACAGGATTTGTAAGATTCCCCCAAAAAGAAAACAACAACATATCAAAGAACATATCAGAGATGCAAGTATTGCAAGTAATGTCAAGATTCTGAATCTTGTATTTTAGGTTGAAAAGTGCGTATGATTTAGGGCTAATATTGTGTCGTCCAAAAGAAGACTGAAAATCTCCTCAGTCAGATGCATTTTCACAGTGTACTGGTCAGCACTGTAGTCTAGCCAAGTTCTCTCCTCATTATGAAGTTCCTGAATCTAGAAATAGATCAAAAGACAAAATCAGACATTTTCAGTTCTAACATTTACTGCAGTCTTAGCTAAAGTTACACCAAGACCACTAATTTCACAAGCAAGCGTATTATTATAGGAGTGCCTTTACACACACCAGTATAAAGTCCACTCTGTCTCTCTTGGCGTACCAGTATTTGCACAGTTTTTGGAGCATCTCTGTCATCTGTTGCTCGCTTCGCTCTAAATTCAGAATTTTCTGTATCTCTTTTCTCACGGCAGCCTGCAAATAACATTAGATCAACACACTGTAAATGTTCGTTAAAGTATTTTAATCAAAATGGTAGTTCACCTGAAAAAAACAAACAAACAAACAAAAAAAATATATATAATAAAATTAAATTAAATAAAAACTTTGCATGAATATTATTTTAATGGTTCATACAGCTGATTGCAAATTGTTTTACCTTTAAAAATGTGACTGAAATTTGACTGGATTGCAGAGCTGCGATCACAGATTGATCATTTATATTCTGGGCAGATTGTTTTGTCCTCAACAGACCACCCCAAATCTCATGAAGCACATCAGATGTTAACTGAAAGATCACCTACAGTGTAAAATGAATAAGGTTTAGATTAGAATTTTGTTTCTCTCATTCATTTAGCATTTTTATAGTAATTTGTTATGTACACATTCCTATAGACTAACCTGCCGATAACGTTTGCGACTATCATCGTCTAATAAATAGCTTGGTGTTTCATAAAGGTCGAGAGTGTCTTCATTTGCTTGGCCACACAGAATCTCCACTGCAGCGTCCACTAATCTGTACACAATGCCGTCTTCATGGGGCGGCACTTTTATCTTTGGTGGCATGTCGGGTTGGGCCTGATGCCACTGATCCAAGACACATGGCATAAAATGACCATCCTCACCTTTTCTGACTTCCTAAATATCAAAGAGAAAAGTGCAGTAATAGTAAACAAAAATGAAATTTTTCAATTATTCAAATTTCATGCACAGACATTATTTTACATGGGTATTTTGTTCTTCACTAAAGTAAATTCTACAGTTGTTTTGACAACTTACAGTATCTGTAGAGCGATTGTCATGCAATGCTTTAATCCTTTGTCTCTTTCTATTATCCTGAGCACAGTGAACTCCATCTTTATCCAGCTCTTCTGTCAGCTTAGCATCCTCATGGTGCCTGTTTTGATGGAGCTCATTATGATGGAGCTCAAAGTCGGTCTGTAAAATACAGGTGCTTAGTGATAGGTACAACTGCTGTATGCTATACGATAAAGTTTGTGAAAACAATGAAAAAATGAAAATTCTGTCATCATTTAATCATTCTCATGTTTTTAACACCTATAGTAAAAAAGTTATATATTTTCCACTTTAGCACAATCAAATATACTTCAGTATATCTTTAGTTGGACTTCAGCACTACTTCCACACAATTAAAAAGTGCATTAAGGATAAAATTAGTTGTTCCAATTTCAGCAAGTATAACAGTTTAGTATACTAAAAGTACAATTGCAGGGTATTTTTATTAAGTACATAAATATGTAAATGTATTTGTAGTTTACTTAGGATGAAATAAATGTGTTTCAAATACATTTTAGTATATTTATTTTTCTCTAGGGTGTATGACTCTGTTTGCAAGAATTGTTGATGCTGCTCTTTTCTGTACAATGAAATCATACAGTGACTAGGTGCTGTTGAACTTCAGTAAGGACAAAAAGCAAAATCAGTACATAAGTCTTACGCTATATTACAAGTTTTCTGAAGCTTTCTGATGAGTTACACGTAGTTTGTGTGAGGAACAGACATATCAAATTTCGTTTACTATCATTATAGCCCTATACATTGTATACTGTAATAGAATGGAATAACAGAATAGAAAAATAAGACACATACTGTATACTGTATAGTGTAATGCAGTAAAGCGCTGTACAAGGTTTGACGTCAGTGAAAAACCACCACGTTTTGTAACTGACTGTTTCGTGATGTGTCAGTTTTTGTGGTACTTTGTGTAGTTTTTTTAGGCTCGACAGCCTCTGGTCATTGTACTTTTCTTTTTTTTTCTTTTTTTTGAAAGAAGTCTGCATTTATTTTATCAACAGTCAACTGTAATATTGTGAAATATTATTACACATTACATTGTTTTCTAGTTTAATATATTGGTAACACTTTAGTATAGGTACCAATTCTCACTATTAATTATTTGTTTATTAGCATGCCTATTATTAACATATAGGCTGTTTATTAGTACTTATAAAGCACAAATTCTGCATGACCATATTCTTCATTCTTAATCCTAATACCTAAACTTAATAACTACCTTACTAACTATTAATAAGCAGCCAATTAGGAGATTATTGAAGCAATAGTCATAGTTAATGGTTTGTTAATAGCGAGAATTGGACCTTAGAATAAAGTGTGACCGATATATAAGTAATTTTTCAGTGTCACATGATCCTTCAGAAATCATTCTAATTTGCTGATTTGCTGCAAGAAGAAACATTTCTTATTTTTATCAATGTTGAAAACAGTTTTGCTGCTTAATAATTTTGGGGGAAACTGTGATACAGATTCTTTGATGAATATAATTTTTTTATGAATGTTTTACTGTCAAAAAAATTGTACTTACCTAAAAATTTTTAACGCTAGTGTACATACTTTCACTATTTGCAAAAGAGCTACATTTATCTTAACATCTCATTTTGCGTTCCACAGAAGAAAGAAAGCCAAACCGGTTTGGAATGACATAAGGGTGATTAAATGGTTCCAGAATTTTAATTTTTGAGTGAACTATTCCTTTAAGTGCTTGGTGTGACTTACTCTTGGTGAGGACATTTCAAAGGCATGTGAAAGGTTTCTTGCTCCATCTGACATGTCTTCCTGAGGTTCTTTTTGTCGTGTGCTTGTGGTGTTTGTAGGTATGGTCTCATCTCTAGGAGGACACTGTATATGTCCTCTTTGTCCATCTGCCGACGATGTGACCTTCTGTTGTTTATCTCTCTTTGCCCTAGGCTGCTCCTCATCTTCATCCACCCCAGTCTCTACATCACTGCTAGGTTCTCTGTGTATGTGAGCGATGTCCTCAGCTCTGACCAGGACACCGTGGCTTTTGTCGCAGCTGAAGTACTTCACACCTATAAAAGTTCCATTGTGGTTTCCATTAGGGGTGTCCAAAGCAACACCAGCCCAAAACCCATTCTCAAACGCCATGAGGCCTTTATATTTCAGCACACCCGGTCTGGAGTTACACACAAGAACTCTGTCTCCAATTTGATAGGAGGACAATGGATCCGAGATTTCATTTCTCGCATCTTCAGGAAGTGAGCAAGTGTATTCCGAACAGTCGTTTTCCTCTGCATCCTCACATAGAGCTCCATTAGTATCATCGTTTACCTCCTTTCCCCTCAGACTGTTAGAGTCTAGACTCTGAGACTCTTTTCTTTTCAGAGACAAGTCCACAGGGAGAGGAGGGAGGTTCTCGCTGTTAATTGAGAGATCTTCTACAGAATCAGGTGGAGCTGGAAGTTCCTCCTCACTGGTCCATGTAATAATCTCAAAGGCAGGAGGAGGAGGAGGACAACCGTAGCTTTCAAGACCTGATGTGGCTCCTACTTTAACGGATGGAGGGAGTTCTGCACTTCCGTAAGACAAAACCTCATCTACAGGAGAGAGAATTTCTGACAGGGTCGACTCTACAGTCGCTTGTCTTTCGTAACGTGGTGGTGTACAGCGTCCTTCCTGTTTAATGTTCAAATCAACTGGTACCACAGTGTACTTTTCGGCAAAAACTAAAGAGCAACTACTTGCTTGAGCTGCTTCAATCTTCTCCTCATCGAGACAGTCCCTTTCTTCTTCAGACCAAGCGAGTGCTTCACTATGAAATGAAATTACCTCTGACTTCTCATCTATCTCAGACAGACTGACATCACAAGACGGACTATCCTCAGCCTCTCTTATTTCCACACTTTCTGCTTCCAGAATTAAGTTTTTAATAAGTGGATTGTCTGTCTCATTTGTACACGCCTGAGATTTTTGTTCAGGAAACTCATTGGTTTTATCGGTTTTGGAGTATGAAAGAGATGACTTCCATTGCCCCTCAGCATCCTGGTCACAGATATTGTGGTTGTTGTTCAGCGTCAGCACACTGTGCAGTCTCTGATTGTTCTGTACATTTAGAGCTGTGGTATCTGGTGTTGTGCTGCCATGGACCACGTTTGTCGTCTTTATGTCTTCTTGCTCCTTGGGTTTAAGATGGCTCTTCTTAGAGTCCAATCGGAGATCATCTTTTTTGTCAGATGACAAACTGGACACTATTGGGGCTCGGAGTGAATCTGAATGAGGCTCACGGTTGAGTGTGAAATGCTGGATATTTAATACCGGCTTCATTGGCACTTCTGCTGGATGTTGTGGTCTTTCTCTCTTGAGTGTGCAGGTGTCCTCATAAAGCCCTTGTACCTTCTTCTGAGTGTCTTGTTCTGAAAATGTTATCAAATATTCTCTATTGTCAAAAATCCCGAAGGAATGTTAATGGATAACATAATTTGGAACCAATCCTAACTAATAATAACAATAATTGCAGTTTTTGAAAGAAGTCTCTTCTGCTCAGCAAGGCTGCATTTATTTGATCAAAAATACAAGAAACCGTAAAATTGTAAAATATTATTACAATTTAAAACAACTGTTTTCTGTTTTAATATACTTTCAAATATGTTATATGTTATAAAATAAGTTATTCCTGTGATGCAAAGCTGAGCCTTTACCCAGCCATTACTCCAACCTTTTCTTCAGTCTTCAGTGTCACATGATCCTTCAGAAATTATTCTAATATGCATATTTATTATCATTGTCGGAAGCTGTTGTGCTGCCTAATTTTTTTTTCTCAAACCTGTGATACCTTATTCAGGATTCTTTGATGAATACAAAGTTCAAAATAGAAATCTTTTCTAATAATATAAGTCTTTACAATCACTTTTTATCAATTTAACATTACCTTGCTGAATAAAAATATTAATTTCTTCCAAAAAATAAAGATTTAAAAAACTTTTGATTGCAGTATATATTGTTACAAAATATTTAAATATTATATTATTAATATATATATATATAAAATGCTGTTCTGTTTTATTCATCAAAAAATCAAAAAAAAAAAAAAAAATAGTATCACAGGTTCCAAAAAACATTAAGCAGCATAACTGTTTCCAACATTGATAATAAATCAGGGTTACCTTGATTTTTAAGTAAGACATGTTCCTGGATCAACATCTTTTGTTGATCCTGGATCAACATTATTGTCCAAAAATATAGAACTAACCCAATCCTTACCCCTAAACCTAACCCTACCCATAATTTATCCCTAAAATCAGAGGGAAATGATGGTTGAATAACTAATAAGTGTGTAGAAGCACCCAACTCTGGTTGTAAGGCTAAAATTGACATTTCCTGTAAACTTATCCCTCAAATCTGATTGGTTGATTGGAATGTTGTTCCATGATCAACATGGATGTTGATCCAGGAACATGTTGTACTTGGTGAAATCACGTTCACCATCAATCAGCATATAAGAATGATTTTAAGAATCACAAGACACTGAGGGTTGGAGTAATGGTTGATGAAAATTCAGCTTTGCATTACAGTAATAAATTATATTTTTAAGTATAATAAAATATAAAACTGTAATTGTGCTTCCAATTTTAGTTGATGTAGTCTGATTTTATTTGATTCTAAGATAACTTCTCTTTGATCCCATTAGGATTGGTTCTGATTTCTTTTTTTTGGGGACTTTTTTTGACATTGTAACAGTTTTGCATTGTTTATGTGCAGTCATATGCTATAAATGCCACAGTAAATCAGTATGGGCATTAAGTCATTCTGCTCACAGGATGAGTCAGCAGAAACTAGTCATAGCCTACTGTAAATGAATTGCAGTACACTCAATAACAACAGAAAGCCATCTATCAAAGAGAAAACTGTGAAAAAGTAAAATCAAGATTGCTGTCTTTCACTGTCTGAAATGAAGATGAAGACTGATAATTAAGCGTTTTATTAACAGACACAATGTGCTCATGGAAAGCTTCAAAATCCCCAAAACACAGAACCCTCTACCCACCATTAACTTCAGGTCCTGATGTCAAAGCCTTCACAGAGTCACGCTGACATGAAGTGCTTCCACATTCAGTCTTGCTGATTCTTTCTGGACTGATAAGGTGAAGAGAAGCCTGGTTCTGTCGGCTGTACCTGTGAGAGGGACTGGCTGGAGGATTATTTGATTCTGCGACTTGCAGAATATCCTGCTCGGGCGGGACGAATTCCACTTGGTTCCTCTTCCTTCCTAAAGTCCACACTTCATCTGACGACAACAGCCTCCTCAATCCTACCTTACCCAACAAGCTGGAGGAAAACAAGCAAAAGTACATTTGACAAAATATATGAACAATGAACAATATTGTTTTTACATAATTTATTAATCTAGTTTCATGTTAACTAAAAAAAATATATAGTACTGTTCATTATTAAAACATTTACATTCATAATAGATTGACTAATATTAATTTGTGCAACTTGAAATATTAAACATTTATTAGTATATTCTTAGAATATAGGAAAATGGGTTCCAAAAGGTGGTTTTCGTAGTGATACAATAGATGAACAATTTCAGAAACCTTTCAATTAACTTTTTTTTAATCTTAGTGTGAAGAATATTTTTGTAATCTGAATAACCTTTTTCCACTCTGTAAAAAATGATTATATAAAGTTGTAATTAATTGCGATTATTAGGATATACAGGTGCATCTCAATAAATTAGAATGTCGTGGAAAAGTTCATTTATTTCAGTAATTCAACTCAAATTGTGAAACTTGTGTATTAAATAAATTGCAATGTCATCTGCTGGTGTTGGTCCATTGTGTTTTGGTCCAACGTCACTGCACCCGTTTACCAAGAAATTTTGGAGCACTTCATGCTTCCTTCTGCTGACCAGCTTTTTGAAGATGCTGATTTCATTTTCCAGCAGGATTTGGCACCTGCCCACACTGCCAAAAGCACCAAAAGTTGGTTAAATGACCATGGTGTTGGTGTGCTTGACTGGCCAGCAAACTCACCAGACCTGAACCCCATAGAGAATCTATGGGGTATTGTCAAGAGGAAAATTAGAAACAAGAGAACAAAACATGCAGATGAGCTGAAGGCCACTGTCAAAGAAACCTGGGCTTCCATACCACCTCAGCAGTGCCACAAACTGATCACCTCCATGCCACGCCGAATTGAGGCAGCAATTAAAGCAAAAGGAGCCCCTACCAAGTATTGAGTACATGTACAGTAAATTAACATACTTTCCAGAAGGCCAACAATTCACTAAAAATGTTTTTTATTGGTCTTATGAAGTATTCTAATTTGTTGAGATAGTAAATTGGTGGGTTTTTGTTAAATGTGAGCCAAAATCATCAATTAAAAGAACCAAAGACTTAAACTACTTCAGTCTGTGTGCACTGAATTTATTTAATACACGAGTTTCACAATTTGAGTTGAATTACTGAAATAAATGAACTTTTCCATGACATTCTAATTTATTGAGATGCACCTGTAAGCATATAAGCAAATGCAATTTTAGTCTTTCTACTTCAAAATGTCGTGTTTAATTCAGTGTGTCAATTGCTGATTCTAATTATTTGTTAAATTTACTAAAACATTCTGAGTGAAAATTGTTTAAAGCAAATCCTAAACCATTTTCCCCCCATAAATGTTAAATAGTCTTCACAGAACCATCAATGCTAAAAACAACCTTTATTTTTGTGTATGTACACATAAATGTGAAGCTAGATTAATAAATGCTGTAAGAGTATTGTTAATTGATTAATTCATGATACCTAATAAACTAATGTTAACAAACTGAAGTCTTACCCTTATAATTATAACATCAGTTAATCTTTATCCCATATGAAAGAAAAGACATTCTCTGAAATATGAGATCTATTAGAATCTTAGAATAAATTTAGCAATTTTGTGCAATTACATTAACTAAGGACTGAGGCTTTCAGCTTCAAACAGAAGCCTCAGTCTCCATTCATTGTAATTACTTGGAAAAAGTAAATAATGTACTTAAGTAAGTACTTAATAGGATGTTCGTTTTTTGAGTAAACTACTGCTTTAATTTTCTATATTAAATTACATAACTGACACAGAACTAATGCCTACTCATGCAAATAGCGAGAGTGAAACAGCGAGAGAGAGAGAGAGAAATGCCGTCCACCTACCCTGACCTGTTCATGACTGGCATACTGCCATCACAAAGGGGCTGAGTCGCGAGCAAGCAACCAGAGGAACAGTTGACTGTCCTCCTTCAGGTCCCCTGTGAGATGCTGCTGCCACTCCCCAAATATCGTGTCAACTCGCAGTTGCAGTGGAGCCGGTGGCTGAGAGAGCAGTCATCCTGCATCTCTGTCTACAGCTATGCCCTCTTTTTATTCTCTTTAACTTCCTCCTGCTTGCTTCACTCTCTCTCTCTCTCTCTCTCTCTCTCTCTCTCTTTCATCCAGTAACTGTCTCCTCCCATCCAGCCCCCCCCCCCTCTCACTCACTCAACAACCAGAGGAACAGTTGACTGTCCTCCTTCAGGTCCCCTGTGAGATGCTGCTGCCACTCCCCAAATATCGTGTCAACTCGCAGTTGCAGTGGAGCCGGTGGCTGAGAGAGCAGTCATCCTGCATCTCTGTCTACAGCTATGCCCTCTTTTTATTCTCTTTAACTTCCTCCTGCTTGCTTCACTCTCTCTCTCTCTCTCTCTCTCTCTCTCTCTCTCTCTCTTTCATCCAGTAACTGTCTCCTCCCATCCAGCCTCCCCCTCCTCTCTCTCTCTCACTCACTCAATCTATCTATCTCCACTCTATCTCACCGACTTCCTTCCATTTCTCTCTCTCTCTCTCCAAGGGTAATTACTCTGAGTGGTGCATCGTAGCCAAGACAGACAGTAAATGCTGTAGATAACAAGCTCATGATAGGCACACACTTCTGCCATGTCTCCTCCTCTGCTATGTGTTATGCAGGATTTGCCAGACAGTAAGTGGTGCACTGCAGTATTTCCTCTTGAGGTGTTACTCTACAACATAAATGTGTATATGGGAACTGTGTAAGTGTATGAAAATAAATGATGGAATAATAGTGATCACACTTGCCTCCCTTCCTCTCTTGGTGCTTTATCTGTGCTTCTAGCATCTGGCTTTATCCCAGGCTGCATAACACCCTCTTCCTCCTGCAAAACATCAGCATAAAAATCAGTACTGCTATAAATGTGGCATCTGAGCATTGTGGGAAATTATCACATGGTTTTGCACTCCTGTTCAGTTCATCATATTATTGCAGTGACAACACTGGGAACGGTTGCAATTTGGACTTTGTTAAAGTCTACATGAAATGTAATTATTTAACGCCAACTGGGATAAAATACTATAATACACTGAAAAAAAAATGCTTCATTGAATGTGTTCTTTTTTTTTTAAGGTAAGTGGTTGCAATCAATGTATTTTAGCTACATTTAAATAAACAAATTTAGTTGACTGACTTTAAAAAAAAAACATTTTAATGTAGCTAAAATAAATTGTTTGCAACCACTTATTAAAAAAAGTAGTATAATTTTTTTCAGTGTAATATATAACTTGTTTCTCTTTCCATTTGTTTAACTTGATCTGACTTTTGTTTAACTTAAATCTTCTGAGACAAAAAATAGACATATTTAAAAACACAAAAAAAACAAAAACCCAATAAAATGTGAAGAACAATAAAATGAAAAGGAAAACAGAAAACATCAAATTAAAAATGTATTAAAAATATTAATAAAAACTCTACAAGTACACTAAAATATCACTGCTTTAGAAGCACAATGACCGAAGATATCAAGTATTGTTTTCTGATGAATGCATCAGAATTAAGCCAGTTTGTTTAAAAAAGAAAAAAATATCTGTCAAGAAAATCAACTAAATTCAAAATGAAAACCAGATGAATTAATTATGTTTGATATCGTATCAAATATTATATCAGATATTTGTTCTTATTTCAAAAGTAAACCCGCTTCATTTTGATACATTTATCAGAAAATTTAATATCTCAAGCTACAAGTACACTAAAATATCACTGCTTTAGAAGCACAATGACCGAAGATATCAAGTATTGTTTTCTGATGAATGCATCAGAATTAAGCCAGTTTGTTTAAAAAAGAAAAAAATATCTGTCAAGAAAATCAACTAAATTCAAAATGAAAACCAGATGAATTAATTATGTTTGATATCGTATCAAATATTATATCAGATATTTGTTCTTATTTCAAAAGTAAACCCGCTTCATTTTGATACATTTATCAGAAAATTAAATTTTCCTTCTAAAAGTATAATAAAAGTAAAAGTATCTTTATGTATTTTTAAGTATCTTGAGGAATTTGTAGAATTTCATTTGTACTGGAAACCTAGACAAAAATACTGAACAATTATTTATTGCAGTGTTGTCTTTCTGATATTTCATCAAAATGTAATTGCGCCACTTCTCAAAAACAAACAAACAAACAAAAAAAACTTGCTTTTTCAACCAGTCCTCTCCAAGAACCTATAATATAGAGTACATACATAGTTCATACATTCAATCCACGATCATTACAATATTTACAAAAAAAGAATCCAAGGCACTTCTTATGGTCCAAAAAAGTTAAAACGCCTTAATTCACATTATGGCCATCCTGACACACTCTGAGAAAGGGCTAAACGCATCAGAGTGCAGAGTTTTAAGCATGTTTCTGTTGAGATGGCCATATTGTGGGGCTTTTTAACTTTTTTGGACCAGAAGAAGTGCCTTGGATTTCTTTTTTTTGTAATAACTGCTTCAAACCCAACCAAAGAGCACCTTCTATGACTACTTCACAAGGTCCTTTCAGCAAGTAGCGCTTCAAGATGTCTCCTACGATCATTACAATATTGTTGAATATCCTGCTGTAACTGTAAATACTTCAAATTATGAAAGTAAATGGCTTACAAATGCTATTTCCCATTGACTTTAACCACAGTATCACTAACGAAAAGAGCAGATTTCTGATTTGTGGAATACCATATAACTGCAAGTGTTCGCCGGTTTGGTGATTGCATTTTTCTGCATTTGTAACGCTTGTCTTAAGCGAATAGCTGACAGTTTGATATGAAGAATGTCTCTCTGATGGTGGAGAAGCAACAGTCTCTGATGCTGGCCTGATCTGTACATGTTTTGCCAGTGGTGGATCTCTGCCTAACAGAAATAAATCAGCATAGATCAAATACATCTACTGTCTGTAATGTCTGTTGTCTTATGCTGATCAAGGCTACATTTATTTTATCCAAAATACTGTAAAAAATAAAAGCTGAATTTTCAAGAGTCTTCAGTGCCACATGAAGAAAGTGTTCTAATATACAGATTTTGGTCCTCAATAAATATTCCTTGTTATTATCAGTGTTGAAAACAGCTGTGCTGTGTAATATGTTTTTTAGAGACCATGATATATATTTTTCAGGATTCTTTAATGTGATTAAATATCTCAAAATGTCTTTACGTTTACTTTTGATTAAAAAAGTATTGATTTTATTGATTTAATAATGATGAATTGAAATGTACAGCCACTTTTGATCAATTTAATGCATCCATGCTAAACAAAAGTGTTAATGTTTTTTAAAAAAAAATAAAAAATGTACTGACCCCAAACTTAAAAAGTCACCTGCTCTTGTAAGTCTTGTTGGAATCTGTGAATTACTTCCTCCTTTTTCTGCTCGAGTTCCGTGAAAGCAAGTATATCATCTTGTGCTGTTCCATGACTGATGAAAAGATGTGTTATATGACAATGTCAGGTTACAAAATGACTCCAACAATAACAGAAAATTTCCAACCATAAATATTTGCCCATATGAATAAGTGGTAAAAAAAAACCCTGCATAAACAAATTGCATCGGTGCTGATATTATGAGGAATAACAGCAATGATGAAGACAATACGGAATAAAATTAATATTGCACTTCCAGTGTTGGGAGGGTTACTTAAAAATATATACTAAATATTTACTAAAATGTAATCAGTTAAGTTAATAAATCACCTCAAGGCTATATATGCAGATAAAATAAGAAAAAAGCAATAATACACAATGACTTACATGTTTTCTGTACTACTGAATCAAAGGTTGAACATGCTCGACTCGAGACCAGAGTGGTGTTGTGAAAGGTGCAATTTGTGCGCATGTGATAATCAGCAGCCTGATGTGATAATAAGGTTCTGCCATTGCTAACACAATGTTTCTTTTCTTATACACTCTGAGTATATTTATCCTTTCCTTACATCCTGCCAATAATCCTCATTTTTTCACTAAGTGCATTAGTAATCTGATTGCATTTATAATGTAACTTTTTATTTCTATTGTCTAGTTTTTCTATTGTGATCATGTAACATCCCTACAAGTCTTCTGTTACTCACTTTACCCAATGCTCCAACCAGTCAAACTCAGCTTGGGTCTTCTCCCAGAGCGCTTTCTCCCTGAGCCTGAAGAGTGCATTGTACTGCCGTGCCCTCAGCTTCTCTTCCCTCAGGAACTACTGGCTCTGGGCCAGAAAGAGATGGCTGTGGAGGCGCTGGTTGTACAACTTGCTCAGCTCACTCCACTACAAATCGCAGTTATAGAGGAGCCAGACATGAATGTGCGTTCAATCCTTTGACATAAACTTGCCTTGCACGGCCTTTAGTGCACATTTGCAATTTGTAAGTAGTAAGACAGTTTATCCTATAGAAAGTACAATGGTACAGTGACGGTATATTGCATGGTATTTTAATAAACACCACAATAAATGATTATACCACATTCATTTTGCATAGTATTCCAAGGTATTTCGAAGAAAACCATGGTATTATCACGATGCATGTTAAGAAAAAGAAAGAAAAAAAACATTATCATCATGGTAGGGTAAAAAAGGCGGAAGAAGCTCCACTTAAAATGTACATTTACCTTTAAATTGTAACATATTTAGAGGCATGATGCATCAGACAACGTGTTATTAATGGAAGTAATTAGAAACACACAGACACATACAAGTTGTCAAAGTATTTCACAATATAAGTGAGGAATTTAAGTTATTTTAGTTCTCACAAGTAGTCAAAATATCAACATGCGCATGCACACACACACACACACACACACACGCACACTTTTCAATAATATAAAATACTAAATCAGCTGCTGTGTTTTGAAAATTTAGTTGAATAAAATAATATTCTTACATATTATCATTTATATACAGGCATGTAGATATATTTAATTATATTTTAATTTAAGATATGCCATAAAGACAAGATTA